AGAGAAAGAGAGAAAGAGAGAAAGAGAGAAAGAGAGAAAGAGAGAAAGAAAGAAAGAAAGAAAGAAAGAAAGAAAGAAAGAAAGAAAGAGCGAGCGAGCCCGGATTGTGTGGTCAGTGGTAGAGCACTTGACCAGCATGTGTGGACCCCCTGACTTGATTCTCAGCACCAACTGAAGAGAAAAGGCTTGACTAAGATTTGGGTTCTGCTGTTATCACTTGTTGGCCTTGTGCTCTGGAAACTAGATCAAAGGCTGGAGTGTAGCTCCACGGGTTCCTATTAAATGCCCCTTACATCTAGGCTGAGGGAGAACAAGTTTGATAGCTTTGGAACCGGGTAGAAGCAAAGGCAGGAGAGAGGGGTTCCATCCTCAGTTGGTTCCCACCAAAACACCTGCCAGCTCCTGCCTCTTCCCTCCCAAGCAGACTGACCACGCCCACCTCTCAGCATACTGCTTAGGCCACTCCTCCTCTTCCCACCATGGCTGCACCACTGTGTCAATCACCTTCGAAGAAATGTATGTGCCCTCTGTCCAGTGCCATGCCCTGGATCAACCCTGACAAAGGGAACTGCTTCCTGGAAATGCTCAACTCTCTCCTAAATATCCTAGCTGCACACTCAAATTCCTTCTCACCTCTAAATATTTTCACCATGAAAGAAAGGCCTGCTTTTTGTTAGTTTTACTCTTGAGACAATTCCTCATGTAACCCAGACTGACCTTGAACCCCTGATCTTTCTGCCCCATCACCCAAGTGCTCCCTCATATTTAGTGACTGAACCATCCAGTGGCCTATCTGAGTTCAAGTCTTAGTCCAGGGGTTTTTTGTTGTTGTTGTTTTTGTTTTACTTTTTGAGACAGGATTTCTCTGTGTACTCCTGGCTGTCCTGGAAGTTACTCTGTAGACCAGGCTGGCTTCGAACTCAGAGATCTATCTGCCTGTGGCTCCCAAGTGCTAGGACCACCGCTGCCCAGCTAATTCTTTTAATTTTTTTTAGACTTTAAAAAAAATTACTTTTTTTTTTAAAAAAGAGAGAGTTAACAAGCCGGGCAGTGGTGGTGCACACCTTTAGTCCCAGCACTTGGGAAGCAGAGGCAGGTGGATTTCTGAGTTCGAGGCCAGGCTGGTCTACAGAGTGAGTTCCAGGACAGCCAGGACTACACAGAGAAACCCTGTCTCAAAAACAAACAAACAAACAAACAAACAAAATTTGCTCCTGGGATATCACACACATACATGCACAATTCTTTAAAAACAAAACAAAAAAACTCTAGAAGCTAGAGAGGTGGCTCAGTAATAGTTCAGAGCATTTGTTGCTTTTGCAGAGGAACTGAGTTCAATTCCCAAAATGCACAGGGTGAGTCACAGCACAAACTGACACACATACATACATGCAGGCAAAATATTCATACATTAAAATAAAATGAATGAATCTAATTTAAAACAATGTTCTAGGTCTCACAGGCATGCAAGGCACGCAGACCTGAAACTATAAAAACTCATGCAAGCTATCAGAGGTCTTCAATCACAATGCTCCTTTGATAAACCCTTCAGAAACTTGACCAATGCAGGGATAACCTGGTGTATGTAGGCGTGAACACCAAAGAGCCCCTGTTTCAAACAAGGTGAAAGGTAGAGACTGACACAGAGGTTGTTCTCTGGTGTGTGTGTGTCCACGCTCACACAGTTGGATCCACATACACACATATGTTTGTACACACAAAAAAACAGGTTAGGAATTTAGCTTAGTGTTAAAGTACTTGTCTAGCAAAGCACAAAGACCTAGCTTCATTTCTCAATTCCAGGGGGAGCATGAGAAAAAAAATGAGTAAAATGCAATGAAAAAATTAAAAACCAAGAAAACTTTTTTTTGTTTTAAAACAAATGAAGGCATTAAAATCTTAACATAAAAATATGCTTTCCCCCCCCCACCCCGCCCAATACTCAGGTGCAATACTCAGGAGGCAGAGGCATGTAGATTTCTGAGTTCTTTGGAGTCTTGAAAAAACAAACCAAACCAAACAAACAAAAAAAAAGCGCCCCCACCTCTTGCTTTTCTTGCATGTCCACTTTTTATTGTATGCAAATACACCACACAGTTCAGCTGGCTGTGACTTCCCCAGCGACAAGGGCAGGACCTGAGTATAATCCTTGCAAATGGAATTAAGCATCTTTTACAGGGGCTATCAAATCTTTGGTTGTTTCCAGCAATCCTTGAGTTCTTCAGGACTCAGGACAGAAGAAAGAAAGGGCAATGCAGATGTGGTTAGCTGTAAGAGAAAAATAAAAAGAATAGGATAACTGAAGAGATAAAAATAAAACCAATACGTGGAAAAGGCCAAAGTCATCAGTGAGAATGGAGAAAGACCCGCAGGGTGGAGGAGGGAGGGAAAAAGAAATGGTGTACTATGGGACAAAGTCACAGACCGTGTGTGTGTGTGTGTGTGTGTGTGTGTGTGTGTGTGTGAGAGAGAGAGAGAGAGAGACAGACAGACAGACAGACAGACAGACAGAATGGGCGCAGGAAGAGAGACTAAGTTGCAGGAATAGGCAGAGTGAAGACAGGCGCCTGGGTGGGGGAATCCCAGAAGAGGCCACTTTCAAAAATTCCAGTGGAAATTCCAACAGCGACTCTACGAACACACAGAGACTGTGTAATGCACTGCGGCGAGTATTCTGTCGAGGCTAGAGGGAATTCTGATTAGAGCAGAGAGATTGTACGTTTCACAGTTCCCAACTGCTCAGTAGAGACTTGGGCGCGCAGGGGACCCAGACGTTCACGTCCTTTCCGGCTTCAGACCTTTGGGTTATAGTTTTTCCTTTTCTGTCGCGCTGAGTGGGATCGGCTGGGGCTGCCGGTACTTCGCTTGTGACTCTGATGAGGCTCTGTCTGAGGGGTCCGCGCCCCTTTTGCAGTGCCCTTTCAGATTCTAGTTCGGCGGCCCGCACCCCTCCTGCCCACGCCCCCTGCAGCTCGCGCCCCGCCTCCCCACGCCCCCTGCAGCCCACCCCCCCTCCTGCCCACACCCCCTGCAGCCCGCCCTCTTCCTGCCCACGCCCCCTGCAGCCCACGCCCCTCCTGCTCAGGTCCTCTGCAGCAAGCGCCCCCCCACCCCCCAGGCTCTCAACCTTCCTGCCCACTACCCCTTGCCGGCTTGAGAGGAGCAGGACTTGCTACTCCGTGGCTTCCCTGGGCTCTTGAGCTGCAGGAGGGATCCTGTGACGCATCCTCCTGGCATTAGAGCACATCACCTTCTATTTATAGCCACCCCTCCGACCGCAAACCTAGCATGCTCTGGCTTCCTCGTCGTACATGAAAATTCTCATCAAGGACCAAAGATTCCAACCTTCAGCCGCGAGGAATCCTATGCTACCCATTCTTCTAGTTCCAAGTAGTAACTGTGCGGGTCTAATGGTTTCTCTGGCGCAGGGAAGCCCTAACCTTCTAAAGCTTTAAACCTACACGACTTTATTTTTACATGTGTCCAAAACATTTCTAGTGAATTTGATCCGTCTCTTGTGAGTTCATGAAATATTCTTTAAGAATTTAATCAGGCCAAGCAAGCCCTAAACGGCTGAATTTTGGGGAAAGATTCTTTTAGCTGGTTTTCTGAATCTGCTAAAATCTAACGGTTCTAAATGTAACATATATTTGGGAGAAGGGACACTGTTATATATTTCAAACGAAGGGAAAGAGGGAAAGGTTTTTTTTTTAATTGTGGCTTTTAGATACTGATTTTATACTTTTACATGTTCACTATTCATGTAATTATAAGTGGTTATAAATAATTCCTACCTAGTCACATTGAAGTTTGCAGTAACTGGAACTGAATTTTTAAGGCTGCAATTCATTTCTCATAATTCTGCCGTTTTCCCCATCAATCTCAAGAGGAAGCCTGACCGTTGACTTTCACCTTGGCTTCTACTCAGTTTCACTTTCTCAACAGCAGAATTTCCAGAGTAGATGGCCCTTTAGATTTAAGAAAAAGGGCTGGATAGACATCCCTAGTTACAGGTTTATTTTAAAAAGCCTAGCAAACCACAGCTTAATCCCTACAAAGGCAGATCTGTGACCTCAAAACACAAGCAGAGAAATGTACAATGTGCTGTTCTTGCTAACATGTAGACTATTAAAGCATTGCAACTATGGAACAGTTTCACTGCGGACAGTACCGCAGTACTTTAAGAAAATCACCACAACTGTTACATGCATTATAAAGCAGCCTTTTAGTGACATGACCTTGTTACGGCCAATTTGGTAATATCTATCACATTTTAAAATGTGCATATGGAGATGGAGGGACAGCTTAGTAGTTAAGAGCACTGGCTTGCTCTTGCAGAGGACCCTGGTTCAGTTTCCAGCACCCCACATGGAGGCCCACAAACATCTGTAACTCCAATTCCATCTGACACTGGGCCCAGGGATTCCAGACTAGCTTGGCCAACACAATTAAACTCTGGGGGAGGAAGTGGGGAGGGAGGGAAGGAGAGGGGAAGGGGGAGGGGGGAGAAGAGGGAGGTGGAGACGGAGGGGGAGAAACCCTTTCTTTTATCAAGACAGGGTTTCTGTGTGTAACCTTGGCTGTCCTGTAACTTGTTCTGTAGACCAAGCTAGCCTCAGATCTCACTAATGCTAGGACTAAAGTCATGCACCACTACCTCCCAGCATTGTTTTTTGTTGTTATTTTTTTGTTTGCTTGTTTTCTTAATGAAGAGTTTAAGGCTACCTTGGAATGCATGGAAAAACCCCATCTTACACACTCACAAAGAACAGAAAAAATATACAGTACTATTATTTACATTGGAAAGATAAACACTCATGTATATGTTAACTTCAATATACTTCATGTACCTGAAGCTAGCTGAAGTGTTAGCCTCATGGTAGGAAACTGAGAGGAAGGGGATGGGGTGGAAAAGAAACTTATTTTCTATTATCTGTCCTTTTGTATTTCTGAAATGTGTTTCATGAGCATCTGTTGAATTTAAGCTAAAAGTACTTCATGCTTCCTTTCCAAACTTACAGACATGTTAATCTTTGGATCGATCTTTTTCTAGACCGAGAAGCCCTCAGAACACACTGCAGACATTCAGTGTGTGAATGCTGGGCTGTCATTTTGGACAAGTTTATTGTGAAACCACAAAGAGCTACATTCTCCTCCTCAGTGTTCTTTACCTAGCTGGACCCACCCTGAATTGTCATAGAAGCACTTTGCGGAGAGGCTGCTAGACTTGTGTTATGAGCATGTTGAAAGACGGAGCTGTTCTGCAGTCCCCTCTCTATTCTGTACCATGTCGTGGATGGGAATAACGACAACTGATAGCCATCATAAAATAATTAGAGACTTACAACTTATCGGTTTTACATTGCTGCACATTTAAGAGAATGGATGGTTAGTCAAAATTTTTCATATTTCCCGCAATGGCTTTCTATGCCACAGATCAAGTGGTGAGATTTCAAATACTTCAGTGATGTAATGTGTACTGAGTGCTTATATTTTTGTTATAAAATTAAAAATGCACACACGTTGAGGTGGCTGGAAGCAGTACTGGCTGAGGCATACCACTGTAGATGCTTGTTACTTAAACTGGTGTCAGCTTGTTACCGGTCAGCACAGCAGTGGACAAGGACTGACATTGTTCTGCTGAAGTTTTTTGGGAGGATCACTACTGTACTAAAGATTAAAAAGGTTGAGACATATCTATGGACAAACAAATGTTTTGAGCCCATGTGTATATGAGTTATTTGCATATAGCATTTTCCCAGAGTCTGGCAGAAAAAAAAACAATTCAAAATTATTATTGGAATTATTATTGGAATCTAGAGAGGTTTAAAAGAGTCCCTTTGGCTTTACATTGTTTGAGTCATTGATTAAAGCTACCTACTGCTCTATCCATTTTCCCAGAGACCACTGCACATGGATCTTGTGGTTTGGGGAAAGCAGAAATGGCAGTGGGCAGCCTCACCCCATAACTTAAACAACTTGAGACCCAGGAGACATATGGCTCTGCTTTTCTTCTTCAACATCCTGGCCTGGAAGAAACGGGCCCAGGTGCTAGAAAAGCAGGCTAGGCTCCCTTGGCTATTTCATGTGTCAGATACTTCTCCTACCTAGCTCTATAGTGCATGGTTAGCCCTGCTATATTTTCTCGTGTGTGTGTATGCACATTCAGTGCCCCCTGCATTGCTGCCTGTCTCGGAGAAACCATGTTAAGGATAGATGTACTCTTGTCAGCTGCTTAAAAGCAACAAGATTAAGTTTTGTGAATGATGAATTTAAGTGTTTTCTGAGGAAGAAGCACTATTACAGCCTAGCTGCAAAACCTCAGGATACAGGGGTGGAAGCCTTATTTTGCAACTGCCCTAACATATAAGCCTATGTCTCATTGTGCATACCATGGAGTATATAAAAGCAAGGTATTTATTTTAACATTGCAACATGATACTCATGTGTCTACCACCAATTTTAATAAATAGAGCACTACCAGCCCCAAGAAACCCCGGTAATAACCATTTTTAAAATGCCTCTCTTGGATCTATGCCCAGAATTTTATTTTCCTGATTTTTTTTTATTGTTTTACTCTTTTTTTTTTTTTTTTTTTTTTCGAGACAGGGTTTCTCTGTGTAGTCCTGGCTGTCCTGGAACTCACTCTGTAGACCAGGCTGGCCTCGAACTCAGAAATTCGCCTGCCTCTGCCTCCCAAGTGCTGGGATTAAAGGCGTGCGCCACCACCGCCCGGCTACTCTTTTTTTTTTTTAATAGGGATGAAATCCAGGAGTTCCTCATTGCAGATAAGGCCTCTCTCACTTGCTTCTTTTCATTTTTTTCTTACTTGTCTGTCTCTTTTTGCGTGTACATATACATTCATATGTGTGTATGTCCATGCAGGGGCCAGAAGTCAGCCTGAGTTACTGAGCACCTTTTTTCTCTTTCCTTCTCTCCTCTTTTCTTCTCTTTTCTTCTTTCTTTCCTTTCCTTTTCTTTTTGAAATAGGGCATCTCACCAGCCTAGAACTCACCATATAGGCTAAGCTGGCTGTCCAGTAATCCCCAGGGATCTACCTCTCCCCTGCTTATCAGCAATGGGTTTAATAAGTGCCACTCTGCCCACTTTTCTTTTTTCTTTCTTTTTTTTAAAACTGGGGGTCAATCTCAGGTTCCTGAGCTTGCAAGGGAAGCACTTTAGCAACCAGCACCTTAGTAACTGAGCTATCTGTCTTCTCCTCCTCCCTGTTTGTTTTTTTTAAAAAAACTTCTATCTATGTATCTATC